CCATTTCTGAGTGCACTATAGATACCCCTCTCCCATCCCAAGATAGAGTTGACCACTCCACTCAAAAGGTCTTAAGAACCGTAAAAGTGCTCACTCTCACTCACTCACACCAAATCTTAGATCCCAGAAGCATTTTTATGAGTTATTGAGAGTTGTTCCAATAGAGTGATAGATCTACTGCCTCTCCTTCTGTTGACCAAAGGAATTTGTGATTTGAGCAAGTGTTGAGCTTTTCCCCTTGATCTTGTTTCTCTTGGAGGTTGGAGACTCCTAGGCAGTAGGAGTTCTTCGATGAAGAATAACGCATTGTGATTGCCCTCTGAAAAGTTTGTGAAGGATAGGGGATCACCTCAAGGTCTACCACTAGTGTTTGATAAATGCCTTCACGATTTTGTCTCAAGGGGATAATAGGGCGAGCCTTTTGTGGCACTAGTGTGCCTTACTAGTAACATCCACCTCTCTAACGATGGCTAGCTTCTACTCCAAGGAAGTGAACATCGGCATACATCCTCGTCTCTCGAAGCTGCGGTTATCGCTAACCCTAACTCCCTACTTGTGGTTATTTGTCTCTTAGTCTTTACTTACCTTATATTGTGCTTGCATTTCTTGTTACTTGTTGTTATTGCTTAGCACTATAATCACCTTAGCAATTGTTAGGCTCACTTACATATTCCGCATTATTGCCTAAAATTGCAAAGTAAAATATAAAATTTGCAATTGTACCTATTCACCCCTCTAGGTCCATATCGATCCTTTCAACGTCCATGTAGTTTACTCGAGCGTGCCAGGGGGTGAACACTTTAACACTATCCTCTTTTGTTTCCTTGTCATTAATTAGAGTACTCCCACCGTTCCTATTAGGCCGCACATAACTTCAGAACTCGACACTAAGGAGTGAACAAGAGGGTGGTGGATGATTTTTTAGACGATCTTACCCCTTTCTAGGTCACTGCACAGGCACGTGTGTGTACCCAATGGATTTAATTCCAATCCGTGCCATAGCTGTAATCTTGCTCGACGCTTCACTTTCCTTGTTTCCTTCTCTTCGTGCAACACGTGCATGTAGTTTGTCCGAGCGTGCCAAGAAATAAATGACCCTAGTCCTGCCCTGTACTTCAGCAGGCACACGTTTAAAACTATCCTCTTTTGTTTTCGTGTGATCATTAATGTTGGAGTACTCCCACCATCCCTAATTAGGTCGCACATAACTTTGGATGTCAATACCAACGAGCAAATACACTACGCACATGCATGTCGAACCATAGGATTTATTTCCCACTGGATGCTGCCTCTGTAATCCTGCTTGAGGCTTTACCTTCCTCGTTTCCTTTTCTCCGTGCAACACGTGCATGTAGTTTGCCCGAGCGCGCCAAGGCGGACGAAAGGGAGAAACAAACAACCCTAGGCCCGCCATATACTTTAGTAGGCACACGTTTAAAATTGTCCTCTTTTTATTCCTTGTCACTAGCGTAGGAGTACTCCCACCGTTCCTATTAGACCACACATAACTTCGGACGTCGGTACTAATGAGCAAACAAGAGGGGTGGTGGAAGGTTTTCTAGACGATCTTATCCCTCTTTAGGTCGCTACACAACACATGTGTGTGTACCCATATGATTTAATTCCAATGCTTGCCATCGACGTAATCTCGCTTGATGCTTCACCTTCCTCGTTTCCTTCTCTCCGTGCAACACGTGCATGTAGTTTTCCCGAGCGCGCCAAGTCGAATGATAGGGAGAAATAAAGAATCACATGGTCGCCTACTTCGCGAGGCACTCATTTAAAACTATCTTGTACTCCCAACGTTCCTAATTTGGCCGCATATAACTTTGGGTCCCTATATCAAAGAGCGAATTGGAGGGGCAACAAACAGTTTTCTTATATGATCTTACCCCTCTTCAGTTTGCCCCACCATGCACACACGTGTAACCGTAGGATTTAATTCTCATGCATGGAATGGTCGTAATCCCCCATCAACGCTGCACCTTCCTTGTTTCCTTCTCCTCAAGCAACACACGCCCGTAGTGAGCCTGAGGGCACCAAGAAAGATGGAAGGGAGAAAGAAACGGATCTAGGCCCGCCATATACTTCAACAAGCACCCATAATGGTACCCTCTTCGTTTCCTCGTCATTAATGTAGGAGTACTCCACACACGTTCCTAATTAGGTTACGCATAACTTTGAATGTCGACACCAACTCACCAAGGAGCAAACAAGAGGGTAAGTGATTTTGTCACACGATCTTACCCCTCTTCATGTCACTACACAACGCACGTGTAGTCCTACTCGACGCTTCACCTTCCTTTTTTTCCTTCTCTCCGTGCAACACGTGCATGTAGGTTGCCCGTGCGCACCAAAGCGGACGAAAGGGAGAAATAAATGATCCTAGGCCCGCCATATACTTCAGCAGGCACACGTAACTATTATCTTTTGTTTCCTTGTCATTAATGTAGGAGTACTCCCACCATTCCTATTAGGCCCCACATAACTTTAGATGTCGATGCCAAGGAGCGAACAAGAGTGGTGGTGTCCGATTTTTAGACGAACTTACCCCACTTAAAGTCGCTACAAGGCGCACATGCGTGTACCCATAGGATTTAGTTTCAATTCATGCCATCGACGTAATCTTGCTCGACGCTTCACCTTCCAGGTTTCATTCTCTTCATGCAACATACGCATATAGTTCTCCTGAGCGCACCAAGGCGGATGAAAGGAAGAAATAAACGATTTTATGCCCACCACATACTTCAGGAGGCACACACACTCAAAACTATCATGTACTCCCACTGTAACTAATTAGGTCACATATAACTTCGGACCCCTATACCAAAGAGCACACTGGAGGGTCAACAAAAGATTTTCTTAGGCGATCTTACCCCTCTTAATTTCGCCATGCCACGCACACGCGTGTACTCATAGGATATAATTCTCATGCATGCAATGGCCGTAATCCCGCTCGACGCTTCACCTTCCTTGTGTTTCTTCTCCTCATGCAACACACTCATGTAGTGAGCCCGAGCGCGCCAAGAAGGATGGAAGGGAGAAAGAAAAGGTCACATGCCCTCCATATACGTCAACAAGCACCGATGACGCTATACTCTTTGTTTCCTCGTCATTAACGCAACACATAACTTTGGGCGTCGATACTAAGGAGCGAACGAGAGGGCAACAACCGATTTTGTCAGACGATCTTACCCCTAGCTGAGATTGCTATATACCCCCACACACTCCCCCGTAACCATACGATTGAATTCGCACGCTTGCAATGGCCGTAGCCTCGCCCGACGCTTCACCTTCCCCGTGCAACACGCGCGTGTGGTTCGCCCGAGCGCGCCAAGGGAGATGACGGAAGGGAGAAGCCGTCTCCGCCGCGCCATAAAACCGCATCAAAGCGCCCATTTAGACCCATCCTCTTTTGTTTCTTAGGCGTTGACGCAGGAGTAGAGTTGATGAACGAACCCTGCCAAACGCTGGCTATGGCAAACACGTCCTGTAATTTCCAATAGACAGACGTGTTACACCAAAACAGAAAACGGCTGCTGATTGCTGAATGAAAGCGCCAGCAAAGCAAGGTTTTACCCTACGGGGATACGACGCAGGCCGGGATCGAGCGACGAACACGTAGCCTGCGGTCACGCGGAGGACGATACGGAGCGACACGTGGCGTCAGTGACGCGCGTATGCCAGATGGCGGTGGTTTCACCCGCCCAGCCAGCCACGCCGACCAAAAGTGGTGCTTTGTAACACTCTGCACGGCGCGATGACGAGACGATCATCGTGTAAAAAGTCGCCCGGAATCGATCGGTAATCCACCGGCCGGCACGTGAACGGCGCGTGCCGGTGCCGATGCCGATGCCGGTGCGCGGCATCACAGAATCCGCTTCCTTGCTTGCTCCGGGACGGAACCTCGGCCCGGTCGGTTCACCAGCGCCGCACGACAGTCCAATCCAATCCAAGCGTCCGTTGTGACGACAGACCAACGCTCTAGCACCACCAGTCAACACGGAGAGGCCGCTCTGACCTTTCCAGGCGACCTTTCATCGGCGGCGGCCGACCGGTGGGCTGGACCGACCGCCGGAAACACCACAGGCAAACCGCTGGAAGAGCAGTAAATAAATATTAACCATGCCGCAAATCAGGCAGAGAGTGAAACTGACGCGCCTGCTCCAGCTCAGAAACAATCCCTGCCCGCCCCCGCAGCGCACGCGGAGCGGCACGCATTTGTTCGGCGCCGGCCCCGAGGCGGCCCGGTGTCGCGATCCCGTCGCCCCCCCAGTCCCGTCCCCGTCAACCGGAATCTAGGAATCCCCCTCGCCGCGAGGGGAACCGAGCGAGCCAAACAGACGAGCCAACGCGCATTCCCACCCCCGTCTCCG